GGAGCATCTTATTTTGGCCGAGCAAATTTCAATGAAAAACAGAGGAGTGGTCAGATTCGAACCGTGCGCAGCGAACATAAGATTGGCCACTCCAAGCAAATGGTTTTCATCTGTAAGGCAGTAGCAAAAACTGCTAGGTCCTTCAATCGTGACTTACCTGCACTGTCAACAGCCACAAATCAATTTACATGAGAGTTAATGATTTCTAAGAACTAAAACGAGTTTCTCATTAGTAATAAGTCAACGGCACCTTGAGTGAGTCATGAGGGACTATTCTTTTCGAAAAAAAATTGTAGCGTTCAAACGAAATCTTCAACATCTTCAAAATCTTCAGCATCTTCAAATATCAGTGGAATCGTCATCAATTATAAAATATGGAATGAATCAAAAATTTCTTTGAGTATGCTGCTATTTATGGCTTTCGCTGAACAGGCTGAATTGAAACTCCTACTAGTTGAATCAAAGAAACTAATTCAAAAGAAGATTCAGATTAGAGTATTAGAAACGTTGTAGCCTACTCGTTAAACTATCTGCGTATCGTTTCTTATGTGTCACAGAGACATAGCGAAACCATGCGCTAGTGGAGGTCGATTTCGGGGGGTCAGCTAGCTTCGCGGTCAGCTAGAAGACGATCCAACCTCCCAACATCGAACTTAATGATAATAATAGCAAAAAAACACGACACCAAAGCTTTTCTATCGTTTCCATTTTCAATCCATATCATAGCTGGAGACCACTGAAAGTAATCGTGAAGTGTGACCAACTGAAACTTAATGAGGAGTCTGAAATGAGAGCCCTTGTTGATCACATAACTATGGCGCAATCTTGCATGCATTTCTAATATCCCGTAATTCGAGCCCCTGAATGAAAAAAAGCTACTCGTTTCCTGTGAAATGAACCGCTGCAAAGTTTCAGCATTCTGTTAAATATTCGGAAACTTCATATAATCAACTGGCTGAAATTTAGAGAGCCCATGAAAACTGAAAATACGGTAGCGCTCGAAAGTATTCGGCAAAACACTTTTTCGGGCATAACTATTGTCTTTACCGGCAGAATAACATGATATTCTACTATTTTGTTCCTGAGGGTTTCCCGAAGGGACTACAGTCTTTTGGACTTGCGGGAAGGAGTGAGGTATTTGAAACGAAATTTTCATTGTGACTGCCGCTTCCACACATTTGAGGTTGGCTTTATTTTCAGCTTTTTGTAAACTTCAAGTGTTTCTCTATTTCCACTTTGAGTTCTATCAGGCCGGTGCATCCGAGAGACATGACCAGAACAGCAGAACTTCCTCACGGAATTCCCGAAGCAGCCGTGAGCATGAGGTAATTCGGGATGAAGGCCACCGAAACAGCGAGGATCCTGAAGCACCCACATCAAACGGTTTCTTCACTTTTTCAGCGTTACCAGGTCAGACAATCGGTTTGCAATGCCCAGAGAACGGGGAGACCTCGATGCACCACGGATAGGGAAGATAGAAGGATCATACGCTGTTCGATGTTCAGTCCTCGTCCCACCGCGATCGACATTGCAGCGGAATTAAATGAGAGTGATGGCATCAATATTAGTAGACAGGCTGTGGTAAGGCGCCTGAGTGCTGCTGGACTGATGAACGGAAGGCGTCTGGCGAAAAAACCGTTCATCACAGCGAAGAATAGAAAAGCTCGAGTCGAGCTCGCGCGTCGACACCTTGCATGGAATTCGGCCGAGTAAGCAAAGTACTTTTTATGGATGAAAGCAAGTTCAGTCCGTTTGAAGGTGATGGTATAAAGTACGTGCGACGTCCATCAGGTGAACGGTTCAATCCCAAGTATATTAGGCCTACAGTCAAGCATAGCGGGGGATCAGTGATGATCTACGGTGCTTTCTTTCGAAATGGCATGGGCCCCATTCTGAGAGTAAATGGAGCGATGACGAGCAGAAGCTACAGGGACATGATGGTGAATGATGTGCTGCCTTGGGCACAGCAGAACATGTCTAATGGTTGGATTCTGCAGCAAGATAACGATCCAAAGCACACATCGGGTATCATGAAGGCGGCATTTGATGAGCAAAATGTCAGACTTCACGACTGGCCAAGCCAGTCTCCAGACCTAAATCCTATAGAGCACGTATGGGAAGAGCTTGGTAGGCTGTGTTCCAAGAGGCCAGCCAGAAATAAGAATGAGAAATTTGCTCAGTTGGTTAGAAAGTGGAATGCAATACCGTCGACTTTCATGCAGAGACTCATCGATTCAATGCCTTCTCGCTGTGACGCTGTAATCAAGAATCACGGTTAACCTACGGAGTATTAGACTATTCGGGTTTTTCTTGTATCTTTAAATGTTAATTAAACGGTTTTTCTTGAGCTTATGTTCTTCGTCTTTTTCACTGGAATTGAGTTTTTTTCTATGAAATACCACAAACCAAAATAGCTCGCAGCTAGGTAATGCGAAATACTGATACTATAGTTCGGCATGACATATCAAATTTTCATATAATTTGAATGAACAGAAAAGAAGTTATGATTAAAAATATGTCCCGCCGAACACTGTTGAGCGCTACTGTATATCTGGAACCCCATAACAAAAATTTTTCATTCTCCCACATGGCAGAAAAAGTCGCCAATTTTTAAAAATTTGGTGATACGATCCATTGTTCCCAGCTGAATTGTTTGACTTTTGTCATTATGGATATCAAAATAAATAATCACCTTTTCATAATCTTTACGGATATAGTGCCGCACATTTTTTTAAATACTAGAAACGAAGTCTCCAGTTGAAGTGGAGGGTTAACGATGCTGTTATATCCGCAATTGACACCCCAGCTGCTGCTAGACTCAATTTTCATTTTTGCTATAAAGGCAGAAGCTCCAGTAAAAACGAAAACTTCGCACATGTCTGAGTTCCTGGCGAGCAGAGCTTTCAGCTAACCTTTTTCAATTTGATTAAAGAACTTCAACAGCGGGTTGTAGCAAAGCGACTGTATGCGACGCATTAATCCGTCGCAAACCTTTGGTTGACCACGAACTGGCAATAGTATTCTAGGCGACATCTGTTAGGCAGCTCCTATCTCACTGGTGCAGAATTCCCGCAAAATAACGAATTTTGACACAGCCGCGGAAATCTGAGACCGGATCACATACCTTTTGCACAAACACTACACCGAGCATTTTCACTCCTTGAAGCTTCTCTATGTAGAGAAGGCTGTGTCGATAATAAAAAAGTTTTCTTTATTTCATCTCTTTGAGTAGCGCTTCTATTTATTCTCATCCTGCTATCTGAGCTGCTCTGGAACCGAATGGGGAAGCTTTGCTATCGCACCACCTCTCTAGATGCTCTGCTCAGCTCGTGTCTGCTCTATTAATTCACACATACCCATATAACCAAATATACGCATATGCACACACGTAAACACACGTACACACGTAACTGTGAAGTAGGGAGTTTTATTACTCAGTAAAGAAATAAAGGGCATGTTTAGAGGTAATGCGTGGGCGTGAGAAGCATAAATACAGCTACCAAAGCATACCTTAATTCGTTGATCTATAATTTCCAAGTTTACTCCTCGCTTTTCCATATGGTCACGTAATGTTTTCTCGTCGTAGTCAAGAATCAGAGCCATATTCACAGACTTGACCTGTAAGTGGTTCAAGTCTGTGGATACACTGGGAACAAATTATGGACGTATGTGCATTGTGCTTTGCGTAATCCAACGCACAAGTCTCATTTACATATGGTGGGATACAGTGAGTTCGTTTTCAAATAGTTTGTGAACCTCTAAACATTGGCCAAATCATAATCAAGGCACATGGTACAAATGTGACGGCAGATCTGCAAGTGGCAGAAAAACCGATGAGAAAGTGCAAATAGAGTTTCAGTTTTTGGAAAACATCATGTAGGAATTAAATGTTGAATCCAAAGATTTCGTTACTTAGCTGAGTCCCTTTTATGGCTTTGTAGGTCCCGATTTTGCACACTTTACTCCCGTACACTTTTACAGAAGTTAGATACAAGCAGGATGAGCTGCATTTGTAGATATTTGGCACACCATCCATTTCCAGTCTACCAATATCAGCACTGAACCGTTAGATCCGTTGAGTTGAGCAAGCTTTCACATGACAGAACTTCTTTTGGCTTGATGTTTCGTTAACAGCTGTTATTCCGACGCAGTGCGTCGGAATAACAGCTGTTAACGAAACATCAAGCCAAAAGAAGTTCCACGCAATGCGTACGGCTCACAAAGTTAGCGAGTTATGGACAAAACCCCGGCTTCAGACGGGACTTGAACCCGTGCTTGTGCTGTCCGGGCACCGTGCTATTATCCGTTACACTACCGAGAGTCCTCTTGCCCTCGCCTTTTTAACTTGCCCGTACTGTGAAAGCTGATATGCCATGGCATACAACCATCGAGAAGGCGAGGACAAGCGGGATCTCGGTGGTGTAATGGATAAGAGCACGTTGCAAGATAGTACAAGTACGGGTTCAAAAGTTGTCCGAGGTTGAAGTTCTGTACTCAACTCGCCAACCTTGTTAGACTATGTAGAAGCCATCTCCTTCTGAGCTCTCAAGTGGTACTTCACAATGGATTGACGCAAGGAGAAGAAAGTTCAGCACGATTATCGCGTGAAAGAACTCACATAACCTTATATGTGAAATTGACAACCTTGTAAAACTAGTGTTGTTCTGGCATAGCGCTTCTAGAATTTCTTGGATATAGAAATCCTACAATAGCAGAAAATGCTACTTTTCTTGCTTTACATCTTTGCGCCCTAAGGAATAAAGTTTTGCTAAAAATAAATCGCATAACCAGTAAGAACGTTCCTAGCATTGCTAAAAAACTCTAGTTACCCGAATAGATTTTTGCCAAATCGATGGGTCCTTGATTCATTTCGCAAATTCTTCTCTTCAAATTCTCTTCAAACTCTCGCATGTCTCAACAACTCTAGAGCTATAAACTACGTTGTCAAGGTAGAAAAAAGCGAGAATCCAGAAGTGATGCACAATTAGTCTCCGTCCCACTACTTAAGAGAACCAGGAACTAGTCTCAAAATGCAGTAGGAAAAATGGATCTAAATGCAAAACCGGACTCTATGTTGCTAAGCAAGTAATACATATGGTAGTTTAGAAATCATGATCAACAGAGATTGCAATGATGGAATTCTTATGTGACAAGGCCACGAATCAAGTCTCGTGAGCCATGAACTCCTTTGCTTTTCTCATTGAAGGATTCAGTGGTCTTCTTATTTCGTGCCCGTCACGTCGTAGACGCTGCTCTTTCATTTTCAGCCCAACGAATACTGTTCTCGAAAACGCGCAAACGTCTTCGCATCCGATCCGGTCCGATAGCGTCCTATAGCAAGTCCATTTGGTATCCTCACTTAAGCGTAGCACAGCTGCCTTTCGTGACTTTTAGTTACGGACCAACACTCGCTGCTGCAGAGCATCGTGGGCCTAGCCACTGAATGATACATCTTTTTTTCGAGAATCCTGGAGCACAGTAAGTCGTAGGAGATACTAGTGAGCTTCACCAGCTCCTTCCACGATGCGTGCAGAAGTTCTTTTACAACCTGGTCCACAGATCATCAGTGGCTAGTCGCTCCCCAAGTATGAAAAGCCTTGTATCTCCTCGATAGCTCTTCCAAGACTTACGATTCGCACCGTGAATTCCTTGGCGCTGGAGAACATTGTAGTTTTCACGTTCAGGCAGGATCTATTCTCCGCCAGCTCTTTCTACCGTTTTTGCAGCTTAACCTAGAGCTCAGCTCTGCTTACTGCTTTCAGGGCGATGTCATCAGCGTAGAGGCCCGTCTTCAGTGGTTCATCCATGAGTTGTTTGTGGTGACATCCATTGTGAGCAGGAAGAGGAACGGGCTCAGAACTGCTCGTTGTTGTGCCCCAGAAGTGACGTCCACAGTTTTTGTAATGCCGTGTCGTGCCCCACTCTCACGCGGCACGCCCTCCGACCCTTTTTTTATGAATAGGTGTGCAATGTAAAAGAAATGTTCAGATCTCAGATACGAGCACGCTTCTCACTATAAGTGAAAAGGAAATTGAGATGGGTCAGATCGTTTCCTGTAGCATCATCCTTCTCTATGATGGTTTGCGCCGAAATATGTGCCATCAAAGCCATTATTATTTGTCGAGAAAAGTGTAAAAACTGATCAAAACCCGTTCATGAGGGACATTCTTGAAAAGGTGCTGCCTCCTACCATTCTTCTTCCCAATGAGTTTAGTTCCGCGTTGACGCAGGATTGAATCGTTTTTGTTATCCGTCATCGCTCTACGTAAGCTCGTCTTTGGCAGTCATCCTTGATGATCTCCTTCCAACTCTACTCTACTACACTTTTAAAACCGCTTTCCATGGAAGTTTAGCCCTAGCCCATTTTCTGACAGCACATTCTACCAATTTGGGAGCTTGTCTTGGCATAATTCGCCAATAACTGCTATCCTTGTGATGTCATCAGTGTAGAGGATGAGATCTTTGTTGAGCCTCAGTCGTTTCGTTCATTTTTTTCCATCTTTTTCATTTATTAGCTACGTAAAGGCGCACAAATGTCTTAAACTTATCCCACCCACAGAGGACCCTACCCTTTCCGTTCTACGAGTCTTCTGGTCTAACGGCACCTCATATAGCAAATGGATCAAAGTAAGCTATAAATAGCACCTACTAACATACCCATAACGTTTCTTATGCCCGTAAGTTCTGATCAAGATCAGGTGTGAGATTCCCATGTAACTACGTAAGGTTTCCTGCAAACGATACCGGGATAAAAAAGTGATTTCCTCTCGAAAGTAACCACAAAAACTCGTCAGTAAGGATGTAATAGAATTTGTAGTCCTCATAATAAAACATTGTCAAAGTGAGGGAGACTCAGCTGTGTTCGCTTCCTCAGCACCCTGATCAACCTTTTTTGGTTGTCAGCACCTTCTGCCATTCGTTTCTGGTTATGCCCTACTCCACATCCTCAAACAACAGAGCTACACTGTTCATATATAGAAGGAAAGTGGTCTGAGGGCACATGCACCATCATGCTATCAACAAAGATGACTTTCAACAACAATACCCCAACAACACGCATATGATAGGCCAAGGTTTGACTGTCGGTCATGAAATCGCAACAAGCGCAGCAGTTCCTGCCTTTTGTGGCCCCTTAACAGGTGCTATCATTTCCTGTCACAGGCATATACCCTCAATCATCGCAGTACCAATGTTCCACGTTAACACCGAGGGCAAATGGCTTCTGAAAGCACCAGCAACAAACCATGCGCTTCTGTCTTTCGCGATCGCCATCCACGGTAGATTCAGAATTCGACAATTATGGCGATGCGAGGAGTCGTTCAGCTGTTTACGCAGCTGTTCGAGGTGATCGGTGAGCACATCCCCCATCTAACAGCAGGCCTGGCCTATCGTGAAGACCCTATGGGAGCCCACTCAATTGTTCTTCTTGTCCATCTGTCATCATCTCTTCTCATTGGATGACCGAAATTTGGCGTTTTCCATGTATTCCACCTGATCGTTTAGTCGGGCTCTACATTGAGATGAACCCCAAATGACATCGCCCTAGCTTCCCCAACTAAGCGACTCCTCACATCGCCATCTTCGTCGATTTCTGAGTCTCCCATTAAGAAATTTCGTGAATAAGTTTGATCCTCAAGCATCGTGGAAGTCCCGCTTTCAATTGACGTCCGGAAAGATCCATTCAACAGCTCTTGCCTAACGACTATTACGATATCGCATAACGTGTCTGGCTCACGGAATCTTCGATTTAAAAGACGAAAACAACAGCGTAACTAATCCTGTTCGGAAATCTGGATTCCCCTCTACACTTGCGTTACAGGAAGATTGCAAGCATCGTTTTTTCCACAACGTATTGAATGATCCTCACTGCATGCTCATCCTTCTTTCAAAAATTCAAGTTTCTGACGCGTTCGCCAATGCAGTAAGGGCAGCAGTGTCGAGAAGATGAGTGCGGAGCCAGTTGTTCTCTGTCTCCTTTCCTACTCCTTTGATACCCTAAGTGCTTTCCACGCCTTATGCTTCCTTCTGCTCAGCTCTAGAGCTTGGTCGTTCATCATGTTGTCATCCTAGATTCACATAGATGAAGCATTCGAAGACATAAGTTTCATTTTTTTTCAACATCCTGTTCCGAACCGTTTATCATGAGCATCGTCTCCGCTACGATCAATCTTAAGCCGATCTTTCTACAAGCACTGTAAAATTTGATAAGCATTTTTCTCGCCTGTTGTCTGGTGCTATGAGAGCGATGTCGTCTGCAAAGCGGAGATAATGTTGGGAGCGTCCGTCAACCTTCACTCCCATGCCTTCCCATTCCATATGACGCATGAATTTCTGAATTTCCCGAAAGCGGCACTAAAAAGGCTGCTCTCATCTCACATCGACCACTTCCCTATAGAATGGAAAAATCCCGGTCGTGTTGTTGTCGTGGAGCTATAGTATGATAAGTAAGAATAACTTTGTTGCCGAAATCTTCAGAAGCAAAAACTGAGCCCTCTCCGAAACGCTGCCTGTTCTAGTTTTGCGCATGACTGTCCTATTTTTCTGTCAATCCTGTCAAGGATAACTCGTGTGAATAGTTTGTAGGTTACAGGCGACAGAAAGATTGGGCAACAGCTGTCAATATCAACAAGATCTTGTACAGCAATACAGTCTTGCTACTCTTCCACGACGTGGGTACCTTGCATTTCGCCTGATATCTCGTCAAGAGAGCCTAGCAAGACTTCTGACGATGACTAGTGGAAGGATCTCTAGGCGTTCTGGTTCGATCCTACCCGGACCGGGCGCCGTAAAACGACCATCAATGTGATTGCATGTCGAATTCCGGCAGGGAGAATCGGAAGAACGGCATATCCGTCATCTCTGCGGCCATTGTAATTGTCAGTTGCTTCGGCCAAAACTGCTGAGTTAGTCACTCCTCCGCGTAGCTTCAAAACTTCGAAAGTTTCCTAGTGAGTTTTGATGAAATTCTCATGGAAAGCAGAATGATGAAGTCTCCGTTCTCCCTTTTTTGAGCTTTATCTCCACGCACCGAAAAGCAGAATCTTGCGGGAAGGAGACGCTCGTCCGCTCCCTTATAGAAATTCGGATGATAGGGCTCTTGGAGCTGCGAATTACCATGAATGGTATAGACTAAAATGAAAAATTAAGAAGTCTCACATCCTGCTCATTTCACTCCGTTCCGTGAGTCCCGATATTTTGCTCTTCATCTCTACTCTTGAGTCCGTTCTTGGTATTGAATTCACCGACGACGACCTTGAAGAATATGTGGATCCTTCTGAAAAGCCGTCCCAGGCTCATATAAATTGCTCCCAGCTCTTTTTCTAATAGATCCACTGCTGGTGCTTGGGCATGGAATGCTGTTGAAGCTGGGATGAGCCACATCCTCTGAATCGCAAAGATCCGATTCGGGTTGCCAAGCTTCCGTACGAAACGACGTCCATGGAAAAGTGCGTGTTAACGAGAGCATCTACGCCACCGCTGACGCCTTTTCTGCTTCATATGGCAGAGAATAGCTCTTTTCAGTCTCGAAAACTGCAAACAGCGGGCGATGCTTTCTCGTCTCGGTTAGTCCAAGGGTGTCGTACTTGAACTTCCTTACTTGCATCACCAGACCTTTGATACAAGTTTCCGACGCAAGCCTTCGCTCCTCGAAAATACAGGTGACCATCTTGGTCCTTTACCTTTTAAATATCCTGTTTTGCCCGAAATTACAGCAACATCTCCTGAGCAGTTCTAGTCTGCGCTGCCGTATTGAGGATCTTTTAGTTTAAAAGAGTAAGACTCATTTACTATATTACTGTTTTGGCATAGAGATACTCACGAAGAGCTTGCCAGGCCGTGACGTAGGGTGAAAGATGGATAAAAGAAGCCGTAGCGAGAAACGTTGCATATGTCCTGTTAACGTAGCATGTTTCAGAATTCTTGAGGTAAACCTTACCTGTTTTTCGAAGTCCTCAACCTGACGCGCTTCACGTGGAAAGCCTTCAAGAAGGAAAGCACTAGCTTGAGGATGACGACCCATTTCAGCTTTCACAAGAGCGAGAGCGAGGTGATTAGGTATCAGTTCGCCTAAATCAAACTTTTTCACTCTTTTCTGCCTCGCGAAAACGAAAAAATCTTTGAAGTGAACTGCATCTTAACGCTCAAATACTCTGTCAGTCGAATGAAATCAATCAATCGGGATGCTCCGAGCACTTGTTTTGAAACACTCAAGACCATGTGATATTCTCTGTTTGTTAGCATTCGATTCAGGTGCGGTGCCTTCATTCAATATCGTATTTGCATCCAAATGTGATTGTAGAGACACATGAACATGATTCGCTAGAAACATCAAGGGAATGCTAAAAGATGAGAAGCACGTTCTGACTTCCCTCGCAGGATAACGCTGAGACCCTTCGTGTTTGTTCCAAAGCTAGTTGAACCATGCAATTTTATGGTGTTAGCCTCACTGCTCACCTTGAACTCTTTGGTGCTAATCCCCTCCCCTTGAATTATTCTCCTACTAACTTATATGGCGCATGTTACCAGACCATTTGCACTGTCTAGCCATATCAATAAGGAATTATGTTATTGTAGTTGTCGTCCTTGGCACATACTTCACATGGCTGTTCACTCTTCAGTTTTATTGGTAATCTTTCGGCATATAATGCCTTCGTCCATAGTTTTAGAGTCATTGCTGCACACAATCAGTTACTTAATTATCAATTACAATGGTGAATACATCAATCATACCACGGAAGTGGGAAGTTAGGGAAATGGATCAGTCGGTGAGGAGCATGAAAGAAAATGGACACATGTCTTGTCCTATCCCATGTCCTGACGCCTCCTGTCCCATGTCCTGACGCGTCTAAGTGTTATCCCTCAATCAGTATCATGTGATCATGCAACTCCTCTTCTGCACTGATTTCCGGCTCAATGTGGTATCTTTCTATGATGCTTTCTATGCTTCCAAGTTTTTCCTTTTCAGTGGTCATATCAAACACCAATGCAATATCCTCGATAATGCAATACCCTTGATCGGGGCGTGGAACTTTTCTTTTTTATGCCTGAGTGTACCGTGCTTATAAAGACTGCTGTGTGGGTGGGCAGCACAGGAATAGCTAACGCTCTTCTATGTTAATTGAGAAGGAGCAGTTAAGACGATTTTAGAAGAACCTTCAGTGTATAAGGAGATCTGGAAACAAGTCAAACGAGAAGCTGGAAGTTCTTCATGACGGGCCTCACCTCACGTGCCATCCTGTCATCAACGAAGGCACAATGAGGCTCACATCGCCAGCTGTTCTGTGCAGGACTCAGGTACTCGTATTGCCCTCAAGGTATTCGCTACTATCAAGAACACATTCAAAATCAGCACCGTCAACCAAACCCCTTTGTGTCTCAAGCTTCTCCTTCGTTTTCGAAAAATTTCGCACGTTTGCCGTTCGCCTTTATATAAATGTTGGGTTGCCCGGAATTCGGAATCCGAATTTGAGTCATCTTCGAGTAAAAATTCCCAGACAACAAATCCACCTATTGAACGATATAATATCATTCATTCTGTTTAGTAATGGTCTACCATCTTCTGTGAATTACACTGTCCCACTTTCATAGAAGCTTTTAGACTTAGAGTAAGAAAAAACCCTCAGGTGCTCATTGCAGTCCTCCAGCGGATTGAACGATTTCCCGATTGAAGAATTCTGCATGCCCAGACTATATTTGAGGCGTGATAAGATATCTCACTTAAGGCCAGCAATTTTTGACGAGTGGCCGAAAATACGTGGGGTCTGGAGTTATCTTGTTGAAAGACAACGCCCTTACAATTTGCCTCTTCTTGGCACTCATGTTCTATCGCTGCCTCCAAATTGTGTAAACGAGTACAGTTCCTTTTCGAAGTCATCATATGATCATGCAGCAAAAGCTCATGATAATCGATTCCCATTCAATCACGCCACCAACACAACATAATCTTCAGCACCTGGATTCTGACTTTTGGAGCGACTTGAACGGCTCACTTTGAAGAATCCCTGATTGTTCCCATTCCACCTTGTTTTACACGACCCAATCTTTGTCCTCCATCTACATGAGTTTCGGAAACAATTCATTTTTGTTCCGTTTGAGCAACGAGACGCGCACGGAAGCGCAGTCCATCACGTTGCGTTCGCTCATTTCGTGAGGTACCCAAAGATCAAATCACTCATGCACGGTATGTTTTCCTAGAGCATTGTCTGCTTGAATGTGACAAAGAGTTGTTGTTCATGCGATAGAAGTAAAACAACAGATGCTGAAAATGCAGGTGCTGGTTCTCAATCTTTACACAAACCCTATACAGAAATACTTTTTGCAGTGATAACAGAATTCTGACTGAAGTTCAGTCTTTGATCTTTTGTACAACAGTTGATGAACCTTGATGAATAGATGGTGTTTACTAACGGCGAAAACCTTCCGGACAACCCAATAATAAGTGCGCTTTTAGAATGCAACAATAGCTTCAACGAAGCTATTTCCCTATACCACAGGTCTTCCTAATAATTTCAACCACTCGGTATCTTTGCATTAGGGACGGCAGGAATCCAACCCTCACCGGGTCTTCCCTAGTTGAGGTTATGCCAGCAGTGTGAGAGTTGAGTTTTTTCAATGTTTCCACAGCATCTTTCTATGTTCGAACAAAGAAATATAAATATTATATTAATAATAAAATATAATGTAAAAATTGTAGAGTAAAATTCTACTTCAATGGTAAACTCTCGATGTGGTCTAAGAAGTTGACTGCTAACACAAGTGTAATACGATTACCCTTGACCCACCATCGTGATGGGTCTTTATTATCCTCGATGAGAGATGACACAGGTTGCACTACTCCCGCGTTATTCACGTTCGTATATTAAGATACTATTCAAATCAAAGTTTAAGCGGTGTTCATTTTCCTTTCAAGTTTCCTGCCAACAGGTCCATTCTCCTATTTTTTCAATATTACTGGTTGACTTGGTCTGATTTGATGTGTTCTGCATTGTAAATGATTGTATGTAGCAGTATATTATGAAATAAAGATTTGTCGAAGGCATTGTAGGCCGAAAACTTACCAATCAGGGTAAAGAGTGAAGAGGTCGAAAAGTGTATGCCAAAGACGGCGACCACAAATCTGAGTATATTTAAATATGTTATTGTGAAACAGATATTCCTGATACTCAAAATGTATTCACTACTGACAACTCGTAACGTCTTGTGTTCATCTATCGTCAAAATTTCTGTCTTACTTGCAGCACCATGACATCGTTCCGACTGCGTCGTTATAGGTTGATGCCCTGTTTCATCCATGCCGAGAGCTTGTGACCGATAATCACCAAATATGCTGTGATTACAAGATACTAGTGACTGTTTTTGTGTTGTTGTTGTTTTTACGAATATTGTTTTTATCCGCTCTTCTAACACGATAACACCTCTTCTCGACACTCGCAAGTGAGGTTCGAACCAGAATTGCTTTTCTTTAATTGCACTACCTCTTCATGACCTACCTATCGGCTATAAGGGTTGGTTTCGCGATAATGCCAAGCTCTAGTATACACTCCGTGGGTTCTTTCATCGGAGATCCTCTCTCGGTGCAAGACCTGCAGCCAGTCACTGGTGAGGCAACGTGGGGTGGCTCTAGGTGTTGGACAGGAGAGTCAAATACGAGCTCAAACACACTGGTACTTGCCCAGATGATTGTATGTAGATAAAAATGGTCTTTCTGTTTGTGCATTGCTGCGTTAATCGGAACCTTCAGTCTCTTTGCTGATGTATCTGTGCATACGTGTGTGGAAAGCCTGTGTGTGTGCGGTTGGAATCCACCGGCTCAACCGAAGCCTTGCACGCCAGTGAAAAGGAAGTATCAGAGGATCAGAGGTAGCACGCAACACATAAGAACTCTGTCCACTTTGGAACAGCCTGGCTATCTACATGGCGACTACCCGGCCGAAAGTCAGCGCCCAGTAAGCCACTCGTGGACACCTATTTGCCGAGGAAAGTGACATGACTTGGCCTCGTTACAGTGAATCTGAGTTGGTAGCCAATAACAAAGAAGCATTGTGTAGGAACGCTCAGGAGAGGCCACCAAAATCTCAAAACCTTAGCATGCTGCCCAAAAGAAATGAATAGGCGATGTCTTCTTTCAGGGCACGAACGCATGCATCAGAAGCGAGTATCTGAGCTGTGATGGCGCAAGCAGGAAGATCAAGTTCGGTGTCATCGGACCGACCGAGACGAGAAAGCATTGCTCCCTGCACGCCATTTTCGAGACTTGGAGAGTGTTTCTCGGGTTGTGCGTCACATCCGTTACGATATCAAAAATTGGAAGAATAAGCTGTGAAGTTTTGGTCACTCGAATCAACAGGAATAGTCGACGTCATATCCCATTTAGATGACAAAAATTTTTCCGAGAATACAACGATGACATGTACTTTAATCCACAATAAGGATAATATACGGGCGTACAGCTACATTGCAAAGCAAACACTATTAAAACTCAAGCACCAACGACTGAAATAACTACGGCTGGCATCACACTCACTTCAGCGACAGACTGCACTTCTCCGAGTTCTGCGTCGACCTCGACAACCGAGTCTACTACGGTCTCATCAAATGAATTCACTTCTATAGATACTATCGACGACAAACCACACTATTCCTTCAATTTGTGACTCCTGGCCGACTACTCCGACCCCTTCATACCCGTTATCGATGCAATTCTACAGTCAGTGACGCACAGCAATGTCAAGTGCTATTCCACAACAAACTGGATTAGCCAGACGATAACTATGCAAAAGTCTCCGAGATGCACAGAATGCGAAAAACCACTAGACCCAAATTCAGCACATCAAAGACGACAACCTACTGAGCACTCACGGAGAACACACATCACCGCATGACTCTCTTAGCCGAGCATACTTCCGTATGAACCTCCTTTGGAACAATGGACAACAGCTAATGGAAACAGATCTAAATGAAGGGAATATTCTGCAGAACTACATCAGCAAGGCGGCTTCCGACAAATTCTCTATAATGCTATTTCTACATAGCACCAATTGGAAATAAGGGATTACTCGTCGAGTGAGAGGAAGAGAAAAAAATAAAGATCTACCCGTATAAGGAATCTGACGCCGAGTCACACCAATCTACAGAACAATCAGTGGTGGTAAGCAGCTGCTACTCCAGTGTAGCGACATCTTCAGCAGCCACGATCAACAGTAGCTTCGAACATGTCATCCGTTGATGCATCAACACACAGCAAATTGGATCTCCCTGTATTTAAAAGTAATCTCCTAGAGTTACCTGGATGATGGGCTCGCTCCTCTATTCTTGTGAATGATAATTCCCCATTAGATAGCGCCACGTGGCGAAACTCTCGCTTCTCAGGTTCACCTTCTTCAAATAATCAAAGGATCACTAGTAACGTTCGAAAACTACACAGTTGCACTTCAGATCTTGAAAAATCATTTCGATGATCGCGTCACGACACGCAATATCCTCTACACTAAGACTGCTTCCCTACCATGATAGGATAAAAACGGACACCATCTCTTTACCATGCAAAGAACGCCTTCAATCTGTCAATGGAAAGAAACTTCGCCACAACTGCCTATAGTCACGGCACGCAACGGAAGAATGTCTTTCCAGAGGCTCCCGTATCCATTGCTAAAATCGCCACTATTCTTCGATGCGCATTACTCGAACCAAGGGTGGTCGTTGACCAACCCAGTCCCAAAACCCGAACTTAGGGTGGTCGTTGACCAACCCAGTCAACGACATCCCTAAGACATCAACCTCCACTCCGAAATCCCAGTTACCGATAACATTCTGAAAAGACAACCAAGCACTACCCCGATCCCAACATTCAGTTTCCCACACTTATCACCGCTCCTGTACGACAATTAAAAATGATAATCAATGCAAGGAAACCTCCAGTATGTATTATAGGGATACCGTCACTTCCAAAAAAGGGAAAAAGTCTTCTAATGTGCACGGCAGACACACTTTTCAATCCTGAGGAGCTATCACAAGAACTACGCACTACTGCATTTCTCTGTAGCGGAGCGTCCATTTCAATGATCAACAGAAACACTACCACTTCTTCTCCCTAGTATTAATCCCACGCCGTCGCGGGGTCTGCTACTCTTCTTCAAACTTCATTGCCTTCCTTATCGGAGGACTCGGTGGTCGTCTTAGTACGTGTCTCAACCATCGTAGACGCCACTCTCTCAGCTTCAGCTGGAGGGGCTGTTTGCAAGAGAGGTTTAACTTCTTCGTTCCTAGGTTGCGTGCAACCTTGGGCCCATCTGTACAGCCACATACCAAGATGGTGATCCTGTCTTTTTTGACTGTTACTCACGAGCCACTCGCTGCCGGGATCATCACTATTCTTCTGCACATCTTCTCTTTGAGTGTCCTGGAGCAGCGACGGTCGCAGAGAAAACCGACAGACTTCATTTACCTCATCCATGCCGTGTTTGTTCGGGATTTTACAGCCTGATCCACGCTTCCATCAGTGGATAGATCTCTCTGCAGGTATCGGGAATCCTGCACCCTTTCGATGACTTCCCCGAGACCGTCTACGATCTACTCTGTGGACTCATCTGAGCTGAAGAGCTTGTCCTCTTTACGTTCAGCAAGAGACCTTCGTTCGCCAGCACTTTCTACCATTTCTGTGGCTTGCCCTAGAGCTCTTCTTTGCTTTCCGTTATCCTTGAGATGTCATCAGCGTAAAAAATGGGCTTCAGGCTTCCATCCAGAAATCCTTTTGTGGAGACATCTAAGGTGAGTTGGAAGAGAATTGGACCCAGAGCTTATACCTGATGCACCCCTGAAGGTGACGATGATTGCGTTAGTCAGGCAGAGTGGGGTGATTTCGCTGCCGTGTGCCATCGTGGAACCATCGTTCATATCCTTCACTGGAAAGATCAGGTGTTCTGGAAGGTTTCGCCTTTGAAGCGCTCTCCAGAACAGTTGTCGCGGGCGCGACCGAAAGCCTTCACCGGATCGAGGCCGGTTATTTGACCGAATTCACGCTTTTCTCGATACTTCCCCGTCACTCGTCTGGCTATGAAGACAGCATCCGTTGTGCAACCTTCTGGCATCAAACGGAACTGCTCATGCGAAATCTGGACGAGTTTCCTTGTCTTAAGTTAAGTAATCGCTCGTACTTTCGTCGTTTGAGCAGCCATCCTGATCTGCGTTGGTTGGAACACTCCATTGCGTTCCCTTTCTGCTTTATATGGGAACGACGGTGCTGCTCCTCCAGGCACCTGGGGTACTTCCTTCAGTGGTCATAGGGCTCAGGGCGGGTGAGCCACTTGATTCGGTCCTTTGGAGCTGCCTCGATGGGGACACAATCCAGACAAGTTGCTTTGAAAGCCCTCACGGAAGGTTTCTCCGTTTAGGAGCCTGTCGAAGTCTTTATTCCACCTACGCCTGGCCTTAGCAGGCCCACTCGAATTGCACCTTGGCTGTCCTTGACGGGCTCCACTACCTCGATGTCTTGAGTAGGGTGCGGCGTTTCTGTGTGGTCTGTCGTTTTTGTTTTGTTTCAGTCATATTTCGTCAATTTTTTCCATTCCATTCACCTTGTTGCGTTTGATTGAGACTCTTCCTCATATAATTCGTGTTCGGTGCTGGCGATTTTGCGCTTGCTGCTTCCACACTGCTTATTGTTCTTGTTTTGTATTGTGCACTGTTTTTTCTATCGATTTTCGGTGTAGGACGGTCTCATTGATTATGGCATCAAGGAAAGGTCTTAGAAACAGGCGTAGGGAGACTCAGGGTAGTCCCGATGAATCGCAGGCAATGAAGCAAAATGAATCTGGCCAAAACGCGAATGCGATTGCGTCTGATGTTGACTAAACTTCATTTCCAGCTAGCCAGCTGATCAAGGAAGTCCTAGAGCGCAACTCAGGCCATCTAATTCAGAAGATACTTCTAGTACTTGCTGATAAAGTCTCCAACGAAGTGTCTGAGTGTGTGGAGGCTGAAAAGAGGTCCAGAAGCATTGTTCTTAGCGGATTTGCGGAAGTTCCTACCCACTTTAGATCATCAGAAAAGCAAGGGGATCTGGAGACCAGAGTCTCTGATGTGCTGAACGCTTTCAAAGTTGAGTGTCGTCCAATTGAGATTTACCGCATGGGCAAGGAGGACCCCGCCGCCCCAGGCTAGTTAAAGTTCTTTTGCCTTCGTGTTCTCTCTGGCGCACAGCACTGACCAATGCGAAACATTTGAAATCTTCAGGGTTTGCAAATCTCTTCTTCAGGAAGAGCATGACTCCCGACGAGAGGAAGCGTGAGTACGATTTGCGACAGCAAGCCTTCGAACGTAACAAGGGTAAGCCTCTCCGGGAATGGGTGGTATATAAGGGGGAACTCTGGCGTATTTCTGAGCTCTCGCAGAAACATTTGGAAAATGCGCATTGAAGCACGGTCTCTTGCATGAATTCGTTCTGAATTGTTTCATGTTCAACGCCTGTAGCATTTTAAAGCATTTTAAAAACTCATCATTTGCACATGTTATTGAATGATCGTAAGCTAGATATTGTTGTAATAACAGAGTCATGGCTTACCTCTGAGATACTTGAATCAGCTAATTCCCCTATACGGTGTACAGGCACGTTCGCAGAAGCAGAAGAGGAGGGGGCACCTGCTTTTTTGTCGAATCTATCCTGATTTCTAAGGAGATAAAGATCGATGTTGAGTTTGGTTCTGATATAATTTGCATTGAACTTCTAAATGGAGTCTCTTCGTCTATACTGAGAGCATTGCCGTTTATCGCCCTCCTAATACTCCCGCTACTATCGATGCTCCTTCCATTGAACCTCTTTCCGATCTCACTTCTGCCCGTTGTCACACAATTCTGACTGGTGACTTCAACCTTAACATAGATTGGACGACTAAATATCCGAAAAACCATTGTGCAGCACGTACCTCCAGTTTTTCGAAAGGTCTGGTCTCACCCAGTATGTGACTCAGTCTACACATGGGGATAATACCTTGGACCTTGAGTTGTCCTCTTCACCAATTGTTGCCAATGTCAATGTCCACCCTCCCTTTGCCAATGCTGATCATAATGTTGTGTCTTTTTATGTTACCCAGGACTTTTCTTTGAATCAAACTGTACCTACCCCTGATTTTAGCAATACTGACTATAGATTATTGGACTCGTACCTCCAGAGCGTGAACTGGTGGGCGGTTTTCGACAATTATACCTCTATTAATGATGTCTACAACAGATTTTGTCTAGAGGTCTACTGCGCAACCTCTTATTTCGTTTCATTTATCCTACCTCCTCAGTCAAATCTCAAATACCCCTTGCACATCCAGAATCTGCTTGCCCAGAAAACCCGACTCTTCTGCTTACGGTCCAATCCCCTATCTGATAAGCTCTATAAGAAAGCTCGCAAAGATCCCGACCACTATATCAAGAAGTTCATTGTAAACCGCAAAAAACAACTGTCGGTTAAGCCCGATTTCGAACGTCTTTTTCGCTCTATTAGACAGAGGACGAAGCCTTCTCCAGACCTGCCCGTGCTCTCTGATTCCTCCAGCTCTCTTTTCTTCTCTGATGGGGAGAAAGCCGAGGCGCTAGGAAATTATTTTGCTAGTGTTTTTTCTGTTACCAGTGCCGAAGATGAGATTCCAATTAGCAGCCAATTCCGGATGAACCAACGCCTTAAGAACATTTCCTTTCATCAACGTGACGTGTTCAAGATTTCTAAAGAACTCAAACCATCTTTGACCAAACCATATGACGGTATTCCTCAGATAGTCTCTTGAGAATGTGCACGTTCATTAAGCCAACAATTAGCGCATATTTTCATTATATCTATGCTGCTTGAAGAAGTACCCGATATTTGGAAGGAATCTCTAGTATCAGCCATTGTTAAGAAGCCCAACGGCCGCCTCTTGACTGATTTTCGACCTATAAGCATAACGCCAACTGCCGCTAAGGTCATGGAGAAACTGATCAGGGATAGAATCCTAGCATGGATACACTTATTCAAGCTCACACCGGAGGAGCAGCACGGGTTCCTGAGTGGGGCCTCGACGACCTCCAATCTTCTGAATGCCCTCTTTGACTGGACCGCTACTCATAACACTGACAGGGTAGTTGATGTTATTTTTATTGATCTTTCAGAGGCATTCGATAAAGTGAGCCATTCAAAGCTCATCATGAAACTGGATAACCTCGGCATTAGTGAGCAGTTATTGAGTTGGTTCAGATCCTATTTCAGGGTCAGGCACATGTCAGTTAGAGTCGGCCGTTGCTTCTCCGAGCGATATGACTGTTACGGTGGAGTCCCTCAATGGAGTGTGCTTTCTCCTTTACTTTTTCTCATCTATACCATGGATCTTCCAGCTTGTCTAAAGACCGCAAGTTACGTTAATGTCCTAGTTTATGCCGATGACATCAAGATTTACGCTTCGTATAACCCCGATTACCGTCATCAAGCTCAACTTGCTCTTAGGCAATCTGTCGACAGGATGGTAAGGTGGGCTCACCAATGAAGACTACACGTGAATCTCAGCAAGCGTTCCGTTTTGCACATTGGAAGCGGTCTTTCACTGAGTTACGAGGTCGATGGTACTGAGCTTGCCCTTCGTTCCTCCTCAAAAGATTTCTTTTCAGTTCAGATCTGAGGTTTTCGGACCATATAGACGAGGTAGGGCGGAGGTGGTGTAGTGGCAAGTGGCGCACTATATCACACGCACGGTCAGGGGTTCGAATCATGAATCGATGCCCGCCTAGGCCAACCAAGCCTTCCATCCCTCCGGGGTCGCTGAATTGGTACCAGACTCATCTGGATGGATAAAAGCACTAGCTTGTGCATCGGCTGTCCACCGCAAGCTATTGTATAGGCCACATACGCACTCATTACGCCACTACGGTTCTGAATGGAAGTCGAGTGCGGGCTCTATCCTTTATACTTTATAGACGAGGTGGCTGTTAAGGCATTTGCTGCAATGTTCCTCATTTTACGCAATGTGTTGTGCAATGATTATAAGGTATTAGTGCGATTATATAAGGCATATGTTCTCCCGCACCTGCAGTACAGCTTCCAAGTCTGGAATCTCGCATTGAAGAAAGACATTTCCAAGTTAGAAAAAGTCCAGCAAACCTTCACGAGAATAATGTTTCTCCGAATGTTTCCGGAGACTGAATACCACCTAATCCTCGGTTACGAGAAACGCCTTAAAATGTTTGGGTTGGTGAGCCTTAGACACAGGCGGATTATTAATGATCTTACGTTATGCTTCCGTATTATTCACGGGGAGATTAAGCTTACACCTAGTAAATACTGGGTCTTTCGTCCGAGTAGTGCGAGATCTAATGGCTTCACCCTGCAGTGTAAGGAATTTCAGAGAGTAACTAGTTCGTTGTCGTTTGATTCCTTTCTCGTTCAAACCGCAAGGTGGATGGAGAAGCTCCCTTGGGAAGAGCTTCAATTCAGCAATGGTCAAGCCTTCAAATCTGAACTGAGGAAGATCAACTCATTACAGCTTCTTGACTTAAACTATTGAACTCTTTCTTGTCTGCTATTTACAGGTCGGTCAGTAGCTTCGTCCGTTACCTGTTGCACCACCGTGTGATCAGTTGATGCTGTGGCAAGCGACTTGCTATTTTCTTTCCAGCTTCTCGGATCGTCTCACACAGTATAGGGCTTGCTTTGACTACCAGATATCGTTTCGAGTTGAATTGACATCGATGTTTTTATTTCACTCCTATTTGTTGGCTATATGCCACTGAGCTGCTCTTAGCATTCCCACTTCGCTCCTTGCTACGTCGCATTGATTGAGCCTCTTTTCTTTTCTTTTCTTTTCTATGTTCCATTTCCATTTGCACTTCTTGTTTATTTCAAATTTTTTCCTCCCGCCCTCTCTTGCGAGCTGAGTAATTGTTCTCGGTCGTCTGCTCCATTCAGCTCAGTCATGTTTACCCTTTCGCTCCACTCACTGCTCCGAGCTGAATCTGCGCCTAGTCTTTTGTTCATGTACTGTCTTTTGCCTGCATCCGACAAGTCGGTTCCACGAGGGAGGCTGGCATACCCGTGTGCCGAAGTTCCGACTTGGTCCAGTGACACTTTTCGGATGAGGCAGCTTGGCCAACAGGTGCGGGTACTGGCTATCCGGATTCTTCTCTTCAAGGCTGTCAGTTCAGCTATTGTAGCGTTTGTGGCCCAGTCTTCGTAGATGACATCTTTTCCACATCTACCCTAGAACAGATACTGGTATTCAGCGCAGAACTACTCGAATCTGCCATCGAAGCTCATGATTGGCGTCTCTTAGAGGATCCCACAGAAGACTACGAACACCTTACAAAAGGCTTGCTTAAGTGTGCAGACATTTCTCGTCGTTCACAGCTTGCCCGAATTCCGAGGTTGAATGCTCTTGCTGTATCCCTATTGGAAAAAAGGAGAGCAATCAAACAGTATCCCAATGCCAATCACGGTGAAAAAGTCCTCGTGAACAAAGCCTGCCGTATGGCCGTCGAGCAATCTCTTCGGGAGTACAGGAGAACCAAGTTACTGAGAGCAGCCGAAGCGAGATCGAGCATCAGGCGCTGCAAACGAGATCTCAACGATCAGGAAGCTGTGATGTCCGCTCTCTTGGACAAAGATGGTAGTGTGAAAACGTCTGGATGTTCTATGGGGAAAATCGTTCAAGATTTCTACACAAAACTCTTTCGTTCCTCCACCTCTGTGCCTAAATGCTCGATGCCGCCTTATGAAGGGCCTCCCGCAATCCC